AAATACAATTTTATCACCAAGAATTTGTTATTCCCTGACATTTGATGAATTTCAACTTCTATTTATTCAGTAAATTATCTTTAAACTTATTAAAAACAATTATTTTTAATTTTTACTCTAAAGATCTACAGTCTCAAAAAATTTTGCATTTCCACGAATTTTTTGAAGGATAGGAAATCTATTTCGATACTTGTTGTAGGTTTTCCTGTATTCTATAAGTAATTAGCTTTACACTGAAATCGATTTTATCAAAATCGGTCAATTCTAAGTTAAGATATTTCATTTTGAATATAATTTTTTGATGTGTTAATATACGAGGGTCGTTTGAAAAGTCCGTGCAAAGTCAGCGAGATGGCGCTACTAGTCGTAACAAGGTTATTTCCAGTTATGTGGTATATCTTGGAAGAGCACATACCAAGTTTCAGCCAGATCGGCCAATTACTTTGCTTTTTACATTCGTTTCAATCAAAGAAATCGAGTGGTTGTAAAAAAATGGACGAAAAAGAATTTCGTGTATTGATTAAATATTACTTTTTCAAAGGCAAAACGCCTCAGGAGGTTAAACAGAAGCTTGATAAACATTATGGTGATGGTGCACCTTCGATTAGAATGGTTTATAAGTGGTTTCAAAATTTTCGGAGTGGCCATATGAGCACAAAAGACGCTGAACATTCTGAACGCCCTGTTGAGGTTACCACTTCAGAAATCATTGATAAAATCCATGATATGGTGATGGCTAACAGAAGAGTGAAGGTGCGTGAGATTGCTAGTACTGTAGTCATCTCGAGCGAACGGGTACATAATATTTTGCACCAACATTTGGACATGAAAAAGCTATCCGCTAGATGGGTGCCGCGATTGCTCACGATTGACCAAAAACGAGATCGTGTGAAGTGTTGCAAGAATGGTTGCAGCTGTTCCAGCAAAATCCGCAAGACTTTAAGCGTCATTTCATCACTGTAGATGAAACATGGATACATCACTACACTCCTGAGACCAAAGAATAGTCTACACAATGGGTTACCAAGGGGGAATCTGCTCCGAAAAAGGCGAAGACAATACCTTCAGCCGGGAAGGTTATGGCGACTGTCTTTTGGGATTCGCAAGGAATAATCTTCATCGACTATCTAGAAAAGGGTAAAACCATTACAGGCAAATATTATTCATCGTTATTGGATCGTTTGAAAACTGAGTTACTAGAGAAACGTCCACGATTGGCCCACAAAAAAGTCCTCTTCCACCACGACAATGCGCCAGCTCACGGCTCAGCAGTTGTAGCCGCAAAACTGATGGAGATAGGGTTCCAACTCGTTTCACATCCCTCCAGACTTGGCTCCGTCGGACTACTATTTGTTCCCTAATATGAAAAAATGGCTGGCGGGGAAAAGATTTTATTTAAACGAATGATTGCAGAAACGAATGCCTATTTTACAGACTTGGACAAATCCTATTATTTGGAAGGGATTAACAAACTAGAGCAGCGTTGGATGAAGTGTATAAGCCTGAAAGGAGACTATGTTGAAAAGTAAAAAAGATTTATTAAAAAAAATCAAGCAGTTTTTATTTTTGCACGGACTTTTCAAACGACCCTCGTAATACCACAGTGTGCGACGTCGTCAGATGATGATACCTACATAATCTCTTTCTCATTTTCCAAATTAAAATGATTTTCGATACTGTTAAGTACGAATTTTAATATGTCTTTTTACATAAAAGTTGTACAAAATGATAAAAATTGAAGTAATATTTGGTGCAGTTATAGAATTTCGATTTATAATTACGCCATAATTAAATATAACAAACATATAACATTTACATATATTTGATGTAACGTAAATCTTATCTTACTGCAGCCTAATCTCGTGGCTTGCGTCACTGACCAATAGAGGTGATGATGCGAATTTTTCCAACCACATGTTGCTATCGTTTATTTTAATTCAACGACAAAGCGACGAGTACCCGAGTAGAAATTTTCTCAGTATGAAATCAGAACCTGGTTAGAATACTGAACATATTATTCAATCACTAATTAAGATACTGACCACTTCCAGGTAAGGCGCGCAACGTTTTTCTGATCAGGCCTTAATCAAGTACTTGAATTAAGGAGGTGCCTAGCACAGGTATAACTGATAAGTAGGACAATACACAAGCGCAAAATATTAATATGAAATGACATTTTATAGAGTATTGACCCATAATATTATTAGAAAAACTACGTGAATGTTTTTTTTATAAATATAAACAACAACTTTTCTTTAAAACAAGAAAAATATATACATAGCACATGATTGAGGCCCCGTAGTGCACTTAATATCAGTGTCTTACATCGAGATTATAAGTGCGAAATTAAATAAGTGAAATATTTTTATTATGAGGAAAATGTAATAGACGCTGGTATTATTTAGTTTCAAATTGATCTAAAATGAATAATATATGTACACAATTAATAAAATGTCTTGAAATTTGTATTATTTTAATTTTCGAAAATTGTTTTGAGCTTGATGTATTGGCTTACTGCTGTCAGCTGGATGTAGCTGGCTTCATAAACATCTATACAATTGAGCGTGATTGAGAATAAAGCGTCAATTTTTGCATAAATAAGTTAAATTGTAATTGTTGTGAGATCAAGATAAACGTTCAAAAAAATATAGTTAGCTGTCAAAAAAGCAACGAAGAAAGTGTACGACAACAGAAAGTTTTTAGCGAGTGCTGTAAAACAGCTAAATGAAAATCGTAAAAACAACAATCATATGATAAATAATTTCAATAGCATATTATCGTTGTTAGATATATGGTATATAAAGAATTTAACACTGGTTTTGTATCACTATTTACAATCAAATATCATCAGTGTTTATTATTGAATAAATTAGCTACCGATGAGAAACATCCTACATCTAATGGAGAATTTCATTTCAATGTAAACGCAAGACTTGTAATGGGATAGTATCATTTCACAAATGCAAGAAAATATAAATATATTCATAAATCGTAAAAATGAAGAACTCTGAGCTATATGTTCTAATGTTGGAATAATTAAAAGCTGTATATGCATTATTTATATTTCTGCTATACGTAGTGGTAGATTATACTTGTTAGAATTTATTCAAAGCTACAACTGAACAATAGCGTTGAAGATTATTTTAATTAATTATATTTACACTCTGTAGAGAGTTCTTAATTTTATAATGGAGTCTAGTCTAATAATTTTTTGCGTATATATTCATTCAGTTGTAATTACACTCTATAAAGAGTTTTAACTTTTTTCTTTCAATGATTTGTCTTTCAATTATGTTTAACATATAGATTATTAAAATTAGTTCTATTAGATTAAGAGATTTGCTTTTATAATGAAATCTGATAATATTTTTAAATTAATTGGAAAACATACTGTTAAAAATAATATGAATAAAATGATTTTTTTTATAAAATTGATTTACTACAATATCTAAGTGAATATTGAATGACGAATGAACGATAAAATTTTGAATAGTAAATAAGTGTTCATGAAATAATGTATATATTTAAAAAACTTGTATGAAAATTAATTTTACAAGGATGAATGAATGAATTGATTTTTATTATTTTCTTTTTCTTGTCTTGGCATACCTGAAAATTTACGAAACAATTTTTTGAATTCTGATAGAGCGACAATCGACGAATTAGATAAAAAGACAAACGAATATAAGCAGTAGTCGAGTGTTGCACCGTTGACACGATTTTTAATATGGCGTTAGTTATGTTTGTCGCGACATTAGTTTCGTGTTACTGCCAAGATTGTTAATAGTAAGTACTGAACTGTTTTGCAAATAAAACTAAGATATATTAATCCGTATGTGCGTGAAGTTTCATCAAAAATTGTTTGTTGCTTTTTCGTTAAGTCATTGGGAAGGTGAAAAAAATCATTTTTCAGAGAGGCCCATAAGAATACATAACATTGGTCAAAGTTTAAACGAAACCTGTTCGTCATTATTTTACTAGGAAACCTCCTTAAATCCTAATTCAGTCCGTAAGTACTACGCCGTAAGCAATACCTGACCAGATTGCTGTGAGCAATGCTGTGGGCAAACATAAATTTTTTATATGTTGTAATTATTATCTGTGTTAATTTTTTATACATTAAGATATTACTTTGATGAGGAAACCGCTTTGCTTGCGATTTCCCCTTCGTCCGTTACCTTTCCTTGCTTGTGCGTGCCGCCGTCAGACCGAAGGTATGTGTATACGTATTTGTGAACGCACCGCTCATTTCCGATCTGTTTATTTTGAGATGCAGATTAGTAAAGTCAGGAAGCCAGGAGCGGTGTGGATTTTGGCGGGCCGTGAAGGCGAAGATGCGCGTAGGGAGAGAAAAAGAGAGAGGAATGAAAAGAGAAGAAGCGTAGTTTAACACGGAAGCGAGTGAGCGCACACGAGAAGTAGCCAGAGCGATTTGTTTACGAGCATCTGGCCGTGTGCTCTGTAGCCCCTAGAATGTGCATGTTTCATGGGTACCGTTGATGTGAGTTTCTGTTTGCCATTAGTACATTAGTGCCACGATTCTACAATTTACGGTACTCGAAGTCGGATGTAGAGGGTTCACCTTTGCGCAGGCGTGCATTTGCATCCCTTTTTGAGCACACCACCTCTACCATTCGCCGTTGGTAACGCTGTATCGTCAGATATTTCTGTTGTTTGTTTCTACTAGAAATCACTAACATAATTGATTTTCTGTCCATTTTCTTTCCGTTTCAGGCTCTCTCACCCGCACGAAACTCGTTACTCACACACTCGGCAAGTTATTTACGTAATAGCACGAGCATTCATATCTCCCTTCCCCGAGTAAATAACCTTTTTAAGTAGAGTCGCGTACTAGATCTAAATTTGAAAATTCCGACTCTTCCTTTACAAATTTATAATAACTAGATTTAGTAAAAATAATACGTAGTTATTAAAAAATATTTTTTATTAATTATTTTTATATATTCATAATTTTTTACATTAAATATTTTTTTATCATCTTTCGCTTTTGTATGACCACCTCAATGTCTTGCACTATTGATAACGTAATATAGCACTGTCAAATCGCATTGGACTAGCCACTTGAAGGTCTGGGTAATATTTAATAAAACAATCTGAAATAAAAAAATATCAAGATTAACTTAGATTTAATCACACATGATATCAATATGAAAAATATATTACCTTTCACGATTCTACCAAAAACACTTAAAAAATACAATATTGTTTGACATTAGTTTTACGGTAATCAATTGCATCGCTCTGGACTTTGATAGAAATTCTTTGATCGTTAACCTTAATATTTTATCCAATTCTTGCACCGTAATATTCACAGATATTTCTCCTAAAACAAAAACAATTATTTAAAAAATGAAATTTTAGAAGCAGATTGAATTTTAGAAAAGTTTAACAACTACAAATCTTACAAAATAGCTTTTTAATTCACTCCCTTCTTCAGCTAATTTATCATTCAAACTATTGAAATTAGTGGTATCTTTTAATGATAAGTCGAGGGTATGTATTGATTTTTATTTTCTAAGACCAGTAATGTCAACATTACTTTTTAGTGCTCTCTTGTCCATTATAAAAGTTTTAATTTCATTTATGTCAGTACTTAAATATAATATTGGTAGTGTTAATCTTTTTAGAGTTCTCTTCCTTTAACCTTATTTTATAAAATCTTTGGATAAACCGTTCAATTCTTTCAATAATTAGTTCAAAACTAAAAATAAAGATGGATATATAAGTGATTTATAAATAAACATAAAAGTTAATTTGTATCATACTTGGCGATTATTCATCATTTTTTGTGTTAGTGGTTTCAGATATAGCAGACATTTTTTGTATCCCAGTGACTTACTTCACAATTGGCAGTTTGACTTGCAACATCATTGGCATTTGAGTTATCTGTTACTAGTACAAATAGTATAATTGATTAAATTATTATACATTTCAGAATAAAATTTATATTATAATTTTACAAGATAGTGTAATTTACCATACACGTTTTCTATATCTTGCAATAATTTATTATTTTTAATTGTTTCTGAAACTATAAAAGCTATTATATAGAAATTTGATATATTTTATGTAATAGAGTTTTTATGCTGATTGATTATACTCACATTAATTTGTAACATTGTCTATCTTACTTATTGGTAATGGTCTTCTTATTTGTTAGAAGTTAATTACACAGACTTGTAAAATAAGGGGTCGTGATTGTTGTTGGCCAACTGAGGGTCATTTTCGAAGTAATTTTTTGCGTAAAATTCGAACCCGGAGTCAGAATTTGTTTAACATGTTAGATTTTTTTAGGTATTCTAACCTAAAGGGGCTATAAAGGCAGTTTTTGGTATATTTTGAGGTCCCGTATCATCGCTGAAAATTTTTTTTTTCACAAAAACGGAGAAAACCATCTAAAAGGTCTATTAGCCTTTAAGGTCCATATTTAAGATTTAAATTATCTTTGTTTTTATCGAGATATCGTTGATTAAAATCAAGTATTTTAGCAGTTTCGAAACAGGAAATTTCTTGGATAAGCACATATGGTATATGTAAAGCTATAACACTACCCTTATACTCTAATTTATTAAACCCTGGAGCCCTACAACCTGCAAAGCTTTAATCCTAGATCCTTATACCCTTATTTTTTCAACCCTTTAGCCCTGTAACCTGCGACACTATAACCCTAAACCCTTATAACTTAATTTCCTCAACCATTAAGCCCTGTAATCTACAACCCTTATTGATAGCCTTACATATGCCATATGTACATATCCGGGAAATTAGCAAGTTCGAAACTACTAAAATACTTGATTTCAATCAACAATCTCGCGATGAAAAAAAAAGATATCTTAAATTTTAAAAATAGATTTTAAAGAGTAAGAGTAGACCTTTTATATGGTTCTCCCTGTTTTCAGAAACAACATTTTTCAGCGATGTTACGGGACCTTAAATATACCAAAAAACCGCCTTTTTGGTTCTTTAGGTTAGAATATCTAAAAAATGTTATATGATGAACAAATTCTAACTCTGAATTCGAATTCTACATAAAAAGTTACTTAAGAAATGACCTTCAGTTGGCCATCAACAAAACCATGCAGACTTGTGTTAATTTGATTTAGTAAGGCTGCGTTTTTAATCTTATTAAAAACAATTGTTTTATCAATAGCTTTTCGCTTTAAAACTTTCTATTACTATTGTTTCTTATCTCATATTCTAGCCATTTGTTTAATTGTTCATCAGTCTCTATCAAAAAGTCTGTAAATACAAATAGTAACTCTATGATTATTTTGTAAACAAGAAAAATATAATGTAAAAAAGCAGAATTGCTCATAAACATATGGAAATATTGTACAATAATACCATTTCCCATCTTCTGGAGTTAGTGATTTAAGATCAACTAATTGTTTTAGAACTGATTCATCTTCATCCTTATCAGATAGCTCTAACATTTTACTAAATGCTAATTTGCACCATCTTCCATATAAATCTAATGACTTGGAAAAGTTGCCAATCGTAGTACTACCATGGCTCCAATACTTTATTTCAATCATACATTATTAAACATCTTCTTCCATCTACAATCATTAAAAATTACCTTTTAATTTATAAGTTTAATTTTGCTATCTACCATAACAAATTAATTTTGAGGTTATTTTTTTTGTAACATGAATAAATAGTAACTTTCTAAATATTTCTTTAGAATTCATTGTTACAATTATTAAATTAATTATCAATATTACATTTATTATATTGTTTCTTTGTTGTCACGTTTAGTAGATTAACTATAAAACATTTTAATTATAATCTTTTTCATTCTCCATTATATCTTAATAAGTATAGAAAATTTCGATGATGAAGAGTAATCCCTTATTCATTAAAACCAAAAAACATCTAAATCGACGTTTCGCTGACTATATTTATCAGCCTCCCCAGGACTTCTCTTTTTATTAAATAAATATTACAAATATTAAACTTGCATCAATAAAAACATATAATAAGTTAATATGAGATAAGCACTTATTCAAATTATAGTTAAGTAATGTACAATAAATTACTGTATAAAAATTATTCGTAATACAGACGAAATTGTTTGAAAGTTGTGAAATAAATCAAGAGAATTAAAATTTGTAGATCTCTCCCACATAATCATTTAACCCTTAATTTGCACACCTCATTTTGGCCACGTAACTGCTCGGTGGAGTAAATCTACCCCAGCCCGAAAAACATCGAATAAATCAGAGAATTTTAAATATTTTGCTATAAAAATTTTTTCTAGTATATTTCAAACTTTTTACTACAAAAAAAAATATTCAGGTTAACAATTTTTAATGTTACACATACTGAAAAAAATTGTTGAAAAAAAAAAAAAATAAATTTTATTTATTGTTAAAATTTTTCTGGGGTAAATCTACCCCACATAGTAGTTAAGGGTTAAGGAAGCAACAGTTATTACACTTATTACGTTATACACTGTTAACTGAACCATGTTTATGCAATGATTGAGATGTGTGTAAGAAGAAATGTGAAAACATCATACGACCAATTAAAATTAACTGTTAATACCAATAACACCCAGAGATCCCCTAGATATTTAAATATTACAATACAAATATTTCTTTGAGTAGTTTAAGTTATTAAAATAAAATGTGTCATCATAGATGTTTTTAATAAAATTATTGAAACTCTTGTAATGACAATATAAAAATTTTGTTTGACATTTTTCGCATTACTGTGTATCATCTCCAAATTATGTCTTTTCTGCATATTATTTTCTCTGTATAAAATAAATATATCTTTAAAATTAAAAGAATTTCCCGGGTTATTATAAAAATGCTCTGGAACTGGAAGTAATCTATGTTGACTATTGATTAATTTTACACTATCCATTATAGATTTTTTATGTTCATTGATTCTAGTTTTTAATGATCATTTTGTTTCGCCTATGTAACAACTATTACAATTATTGCAATGCAACTTATATATAATGTCTGTTTCATCTTCTATTTTTGTTTTACCTTTGCCAAATCTTATGAGATTATCAAATTTTTTTTTATGAGAGGAATTACACGAATATTGTATTTTTTACAAATATTAGCTATAAATTAGTAGTATGGTTCATTGACTCTGTTTTTCAATGTAATTATTATGGTATTTTTGTTAAATTTCTGATTTCGAATGCGTACATCAATATATGCATTTATAAATTCTTCAGGATGATCATTATAGAGTAAAATTTTAATATTATAACTATTTTAACATTATTATTATGAAAGGATTCATGTAACGATTCATAAAATCGCTCTATCAATCAAATTAGAAACTATGTTAATTTTTTGTTTTTTTGCTATGGTTAGAAATAAAATTCAATAATCGACTTGAACAAGTCGGCTTGTGACGCCAGTTACTTATTAAACTATGATTGTTTTTCTTATAATTAATAAGTCCAAAAAGCTTATACTATTGTCTACTTCTGTTACAAAGGTGAATTTTAAGTCTTTATTATAATTATTATTGTTGTCTATAACTTAACTATAATTTATGTAAGTGTTTATCTTGTATTAACTTATTGTATGTTTTTCGCGACGCAAGTTTAATACTTGTAATATTTATTTAATAAATAAAGACCCTGAGAAGGATGACACGCATAGTCGACGAAATATTATTTTTATGAAGGATTTAATTGTTTCTGTTTTCATTGAGTAAGGGATTACTCTCTATCATCGAAATTTTCTAATACTCAATATTAAACGTTATCATTACATGTCAGCTATTTAGTCATGCGCGGTTTTAAATTAAAATTAAAAATTGGTTACTTTATTTATTATATATTATTATTTTAACTATTACTAATAATCACAATTTGATTACTCGATTGTCGTATGTAAAAGATGTATAGCATAAGTAATACCTTTTTCTCTTTCTCCTTCAACGTCTTCTCGCAAAACTTCTACCAGTTAAGCATTGGTAAATTTTTGTACTACATTGATAAACATTCATTAGCAAGCATTTGATAGGTATTTCTTAGTTCTGTACCACTTATGAGAATTGTACTTAATTTTTTGTAAATTCTAAATATTTCGATAATTCTTTATTTTCAAGAAAATATTGTCGGATTATGTCAAACTGAACTTGAAATGTTTGTATTTAATTTATGTAATAAAATTTTCCTCTTATATTGTTCATTTTCATACTTGAAACAGAAAATATTTTGGATATATAACCTTTTGTTTTATTGATTTTTCTTCAGCTTATTTTTGACACAATGGTTGTAATGGTTTATAACCCTACGAAGCTCAGTTTTATTCGTTCCTAACTCATCTTCAAATGGAAAAGTTGATATTTTTGTGATAACATATTTCAAGAATTCTATATCATCCGTCGAATACCGTAGAAAATAAATATTCAGTTCGAAATTGTGTAATACAATTGCTTTTTAATTTTACTACCATAATTAGTTTACTTAATCAATAAATATAATTGATGAAAAGCTGATTAGTAGTCAATATGGCGTAATATGACCTAGCAGGTACGACATTGGTGGAGTACACCGCACAGTTTGAAAATATATTTTTGGGACTAGAAATTCAAATTAAATCGTAATAATTTCGTGGAATAATATTAGGGATCCGAGGGAGATTTTTTGTGCAGTATCACTGTTACGTCACTATTCTTTCATTTCCCCGAGTGGAAACGTTGCAAAACGGCCTTACA